AATATCCAAAACATGCATATAAAATGTCACGCAGGATCCAAACTTATAATTTAGAAACTTTAAGAATTTATCCGGAAATTACACAATCAAAACATATTTACAGGTTAGAAGCTTCCAAAGGTGTTTCATAAACATTTATCATTTACATTATTTACACCAAGATAAAAGCATGAAGATGACAATAAATCATCTCCCCTCACGTGTAGCCCCGCTGTCTCTAGCATCCTTCGCTGCTGGTCTACCTGCAAAGTAATCAACAATGAAAGGGTGACCACTAATCGCTCAGTAAGGAATGATCTGTTTCATTCTAAATGTGCTATATAAACATCCATGCATACTCATACAAATAAGTATGTAAACATAGTACACGCACATTACATGTCATGATATAACATCTAAATATCATCTAACATGAGTATAAATCATCTCATGATGTAAATAACATCATAACTCATGTAGTGCAACTAAATGCATATGAAGCATTTAACGTGTAGCCGATCGGACTTTTTCTAGCGTCTTCAAGCACTTCATTCATCTAGCCCCAATTCATCTAGAGCTCATATCATCAAGAGGCGTGCTTACCTTTATTTAACATCTAAAGCATATATTCATCTTTCCTCAAACCACCATCAAGAATGCTATACCGCGTTTCCCATCATGTCTATATGCATCTCTAACATCTTATGGCATGTAATACAATTTTTGTGAGCTTAATACTTTAATTCATCTATGTGATTATCAATCCCATTTACAATACCTCTTGCTCACCTACATCATCTTAAACATGTATTACAGTGCATCTTCATTCCATTTCATAACATTAATCATGCATTGACATCATGACCATGTTATCTTTCAAAGATCATCTAACTAATAGGTAAACATTAGTACATGGCATAATTACAATAAGACATTAATATCATTCATAATCATAAGAATTGATCATGGTAAATCTTAAACTTTAATAACCCATTTATATTTCAGGCCATTTTCCATCCATTTATCAAACGAACTGGATTCTTGGCATAAACATAACAGTTATAGGTCTGTGTTTTTAGCTTTCTAATGCTTCAAGAATCATCTCATTTAAATTTTTATAACTCAGTTATGGTCGAAATACTGAAGCAGGTTCACAAAACCCCTAAGCTTATAAATCCGAATTTTCATATTAATTATGCCACACTCATTTCCTATTGACATTAACCATAGGTCCCCTTATGATCAAATAAGATCTCTCCCCTTAATAGTCTTTAACATCTTAAAGGAAGTGTAAAATCTCATTCCCATAATCATCCATTTTTGGCTATAACATGGTAAGTTCAATGCAAACAACCTCCTCAACACTTCAAATAGCAACCATTCAACACCATGTGGCCTCCAATACTACAAGTTTTGCCACAATCAGGATTCACACTTCATTTTTCTTCAATCAAACATCACAACTCATAAACATAATAGCAATAACTTTATGTATAATGAATTCAGGCAATAGTAGAATAAATGAGTTCACACACTTGCCATCAACTAATTCTATGCCTTAAAAGCTTTAATTTAAGTTTCATAAAAATCCCCAAACCCTAGCATAAACCCTACAAGTCTGGGTGGGGTTCTTCCTTACCTTTTTAAATAATTCCTCTAACAATCCTTTGCCTTTGTCTTCTTTTACACCTTAATCCTACATATATAACATTATACCTCAACATCTACTTCAATCTTCATCCATCAAAACTAAAGTTTTTATTCCTTACCTTAAACCCTTCAAATTGAAGACCCAGGCTCCTATCTTGCTCTCCTTGAAAAAATAGCAAACTCCTTTAAAACTTAGAGAAAGAAAGCTTATTTCATGAAGATTTTGAAGAAAAGGAAGAATTGTTGAAGAATGCTATTTCCCCTTAGCTTGAACGAAATTTCATCTCATTTATAGGAAATATTATTCTTTATTTCCAAATTATGCTATTAGCCCAATTATTTTAGTTGTATAACTCATAAGTCCTTAATCTTCATATAGGACATTTTGGTCATTTCACACTAGACATAATTATTACTTATAATGCCATTTGCAATATGCACTACCTACTCATCCTTGACTTTTTCCAATGCTTGATCCATAGGCAAATGACATGATTTTGCCCTTAATAACGTTTCTATGAATATGATTCATAGCCGTCTGCCACAATGAATTTACTATTTTTGCGCCGTGTTAGTTAGATTTTTTATTTTGTTACCTAAAAATTTAACATCTAAAGGACTATTTGAGTTAGGGCCATACCTTTGACATTTTGGTATCCTTGAACTAACATCACCCAGTGTTATTCTAAATTTTGCATAACAAAATGCACTCTTTGATACTAAACTTACACTTGGTTAAGCGACTATACCTTCTCAACTTCCAATTCTTTCCTTCCTCAAACAATTTCTCAACAAATTTACAACTCATGCTGCTTCTCTTTGAATTTCATCAAACAATTCACATGCACATGCGAATAGATTTGGTTTGGCCAACTTCAATACTCCTAAGATTTACAAAACTCACCACTTAACTTCAAATGGTTGGATTCAACACTTCCAAATTCCACACTTACTCACAAATTTCATCCAAATTCAACCAAAACATCACATCTACATAACTATCATCTTGGCTAATTTCTCACATTATTCTCCTCAAACACATCTAAACAGCATACTTCTTATCATACATCATACACAATACTCAAGAATCAACTTACACATATACTACTCAAATTAAAGCTTAGTTGGGTTTACTTACCTTTTTCTTGCAAGATCCTTTCTTTTGCTTCTTTTGCTCACTTTCTCCATTATTCATGCTAAAACACTAAATTCATGAGAACTCATACTTATAAAACACAAATCACAAACTTTTGCTAAAATTCTTACCTTAGAAAGCCACAAAATGAACATATATTCATCTTAGGCATGAATTCTCATGTAATTCCCTTGAGACTTTGAAGAAAGGGAAGAAAATGGGGAGAGAGGTGGTGCTCAAGGGATGAGAATGGCTAGGTTTGTCAATTGAAGCCTTATAACTAATAAAAATATTTATATTCCCATTTTGCCCTTGCACTTTTATGATAATCTCCAATTATGCCATACGTGCATTTACCAAATACCCCTTTCAATGGATTTAACACATGTTCTTGGTCATTTTCACTCCCCACTTTTTCATCTAGTTGGGAGTGAAAAGACCATTTTACCCTTATTCTTTAATTTCTTTCTATTACTTTACAAACACGTATTTATCTCGCACCACACCACGTGTATTTTCCATAATCTTTCTACCACTTATTCTCATGGCTAGCACACTTAATACATTATATTTATCATACTCACTTTTCACTTGACATGTGATTTCTATGAAATGACCATTTTGCCCCTATTGAAACTTTTATGGAATCCTCTTATAAAACTAGTTAATATATTCACTATGACTATAAATATCCCTACCATATTTTGATGTGGGTATTACAATGCTTAAATGGTTCAATACTGATTGGCATATGTTTACTTTATGAATTTTGCATGAATATTATGTGTAATTGTAAGCATAAATGGCATCACTCCTTGTCAAATTTACCATGCTTAACATGACATGAATGGTATTGATTGATTCAATGGTGATGATGATCAAAGGTTGATGATGATCAAATAGTGTAATATGCATAAGGTTGTTGATGAACCAAACCATGGTTAATGGATGGTTGATCATTTTTCAATGACAATTTTAATTAGACTAAGATTTGATTTGAAAGAGCTTAATGCTAAGTCTAGTGAAAGTTTTCTTATATCCTTAGTTAATGATGGCATATTTGGTTGAAATTGTTACTGAGTCCATGAATTTTATGTAATGTTACAACTTGCATTTTTTTTTTTTTTTAATTTCATACCAATGTGCTTGCATATTTCATTTTATATGAGTTCATATATCTTATTTCATGTTGAAATCCCCTCTATTGTTTAATGAATGTGTTCATTTTAATGGAATGTTTTCATTATGCAATGAATATTTGTTTATGTGATAAATAAATGTTAGTTAGAGGTTGATCATGAGTTGTTTGAATTAGGTGAATAGTTTACCTAATTAGGATATTTTATTTTTCCATGAATACATGATTAACTTCTATGTTTTATATCTACATGGATGCATTAGGTTGTAATTTATGTGATGGATATAAAACATTTTTTAATCAAAGGTTAAACGTTATAATCTCCTAAATAATAATATTAAGTCTATGCCTTCCATTATGGGCCGATTAATTCTTTGGCATAAAATTAGAGATCCCAAGATTTCTATTATGACATGGAATTGATTGTCTTAATTCTTGAATAGAAATTTTCATTGTACGCAAGATTTCTATTATGTGAGGGTATAATGGAAATTCTATTTTAAGAAAGCATAATGGGTGGGATTTAACTAGTTTAGGGTACCAAGATTTTTATTATGTGAGGTATCCAAAACTAGAGACAAGGAAATGAATCATAACTTATATAGTGATATAAAAGGAAATAGTTTCCTACTTATTAAATTTAATTAACTAAGATTTCTATTATGTGAGGTTTAATTAAATTAACAAGAATTTGATTCCCCACTAGAAATTTATTCCAACGAAATTTTTGAATTGTCATTTAGGGGAGTATGGGATTTGAGTAAAATAGTGGGAGCTAATAAGATTAGCATTAAAGGTTTAAATTTACAAGACACTAATAAAATTTTATTTTTTCCTTGCAGTCTCTTTCGATAGTTTTGTGATATTTAATTAGTGAAAATGAGCAATAACTTCCTTTTGAGGATTCTTGATCATAACAAGCTGATCGAACTCAATTCTAATGATCAATTAAGGAATTTGGGAGTTATTCTCTATTCCAAAAAGGCCAGGTATGTCTTAGAAGAACCCTTTCCACTTTCTTTGCCTCCTGATGCCAAATTGCAAGAAAAGAAAGTTTTCAATAAGTGGTAGAAGGATGACTTACAAGCTTGAACCTACATGCTAGCTTCAATGAAGGCCGAGCTTCAGTGTTGGCATGAAAAGATGCAGAGTGCGAATGGGATATTGCTCGCTTTACAAGAGTTGTATGGTGAGAACTCAATGGTGAAGGAATATGAATCGTGTTTGACATTGTTCACAATGAGGCTTACGAAGAGAGTTTCCCCAAATAATCATGTAATCAAGATAATTAATATCATCGGGCAATTGCGTACACTTGAGATTGTGATACTAGATAGTCTTGAGGTGAATTTGATTCTGCAATCCCTTCCACCAAGTTTCAAGCCCTTCATTACAAATTATAATCTCGATACGATTGAGCACACTCTTGCAGAACTGGCGAATGAGATTCAACAGTTCTATAAGCAGGGAAGAAAGGAGAAGGCCCAAGAGGATGTTTTTGCTTCTAGTAAGACTAAGAAGATGCAATGAAAGCAAAAGAAATGTCCAAAAGTTGGACCAAAGATAAAGCTTTTTAGGAAGGATGCTTCTGAGGCCAACAAGGAAAAAGAATAAAAGGCAATGTTTCCACTGTAAGAAAGATGGACATTGGAAGAGGAATTGTCTTCTGTATCTCGAGAGCTTGAAGAAAGCTCGAGCAGATATGTTCCATTTTTATGTTATAGAATTTGAATTAACACTAATTAAGTGTTAATTCAAATGATAATTCTTGGCTATTAGATTTAGCTACTACATCTCACATTTGTGTTTCATTTCAGGCACTGCCTAGTAGTTCTGAATTGTCAAAGGATGAAGACATTTTTGTAGGGATTTAATCGAATAAAGGGCACAATAGGAAACACAAATTTTATTTGAAACCCATAAACCCGGATCATAGATCAATGTTAAAAACCCGTTAAAACAAAGATATACATAAGATTAAACAAATAGTATAATCAAATCTTCGATTGGAGGCTCCTTCAGATGTTATAATAGAAGTGCACAAATGGAAAGCTACACAAAGACAAGAATCCTAACACGGTCATTTTGCTTGTTTGATTGAAGGGGTTCAAAGAAGACAAAGGGTAGAAAATTTTTCCTTAGAAAAATTTCTCTCTACAACTTTTAGTCTAAGGGTGGCAAGAATGAACGAAAATGATTTTAGGGTTAAGTGCCCTTTTTATAAGCAACCCCTTAACCCTAATTATCCTTGAGCAATTGCAAGAGTCCCTCCACTAATGTCTAATTAAATTAGACCTTACTTAGTGCCCAAGAAAAAGTCGGTTTGGTATTTTATTATTATTGCTTTAACCGTACAATAGTAATTCACTATTTAAAATGCATATACACTAATATATTTATTTAAACAACGTTTATTTATTCATTTAATATATACGCCAATATATATGATTGAATAAATATATAATCTTACAAATTCAATCCAATCATCAAATTGGACATCGACAACAACCTTCCAGGCGATAACCTTCCAGGAAATTTAATTGCAATGTAAGAATTACCAAAATTCCCTTAATCCCAAAATGACAAGATTGTCCTTATTCCACATCTTCTTTTGATTTGCCTTTTATGTGTGCGACCTGTAGGCTCCTCATCATATTAGCAGTGGGTAATATCGTAATTGACATTCAATCAATTGTCTCATCACACACAAATCAAGATTGACCTCTAGCCAAGCATCATGGCCACTTGATAGATCCAAATTTAGCGTATCAACTGCCTGTTAATGGTATGGTAACCATGCAATCAAATCCTGTCATCATTCGTTATCTCATCAAGGTTTGAAGTATAGAAACCATGTCAACTTCAAATATAATACCATGATCTATTCGTAATTGGTAATCCAAACAAATGACTTGACAAAATCAAAATCGAGCACCAACTCAATTCCACTATGGCCATAGTTTTATATTCGTTATCATTTACTGCATTATTTAGTGATAATTTCTCTTGTACCAATGACTAATTAATCTTTTGCCGATCCACCATAGCCATGATGTACTTCTCAATGTAAGCAATCACTTCCATTCTAATAACCCTAAATAGTACTACGTTAGGTCAGCGTCAAACCACATCGATAATTACACATGACTCTCTGGTGATCTCAAGTCTTAGGATCATATGCAACACCTTCCGTTAGAGGATGTATTCCATAGAAATTGGGGTACCATCTATATGGAATCCTCTGGAGGGTCGATCCAGTGAACTTGCTAACAACAAGCACCCATGCGTCGTACCAAGTTGTCACTAAACAACTTTAACATGCAAGATCTGTTACTATCTTTCGATAGGGTTGTTCAAAGTGAAGATAGCCTTACCGTATTATCTGTGCCTTTAATTAAGAATAATACTGGGGCTACAGACGTTTCTAGAATGGCCACAAATTGTGCTCATAAGGATCTCACAATCAAGATTTATAACTGCTTGATTCCCTTGCCAAGGTTCTATCATTCCAAGGACATATATTATAACATATGTGAAATACAATTTACATAATATAGATATGCCTTTTATTAATATTAACATGTTTTACAAGTAGTTGATAACTACAATTTGATTGGCTTTGGGCACCTACCCTAACAATCTTTTATTTGCACTATAGCCAATCATTCACATATTTAATATCGAATGATGTTAAGTGCCTTTCATGCTTTTGCTACGACAGAGCTTTTGTTAGTGGGTTTGAAACGTTGTACTTAGTAGGAAATTTGCAGATCTGCACATCGCCTCTCCGGATAATCTCCTGGACGAGATGGAAGCGTCTCAGAATGTGTTAGGATCACTGATGAGACCTTGGTTCCTTGGCTTGAGCAATAGCACCAGTGTTGTTGCAATAAAGCTATACTAGATCAACTAAGTTTGGAATTGTAATAACTACTTTCTATTAGTATACTTTAGACCATATACAATAAAAACATACATACTTAGTATATGAAAATAGTTGGGCCCAAAAATTTTCTTACTTACAAAACATAATTCTTTACGTATAGCAAAATAACAAGTACAAAAACTTAGCAACGGTGGACAGTAATGCCAATCCTCCCCGCTTGTTGATGCCTTTCCAACCGCTGCTCACCTATTTCCTGCAAAAATATGGAAAACAACGGGGTGAGCATAAAAATGCTCAGTAAGTAAATCCCTTAACTATTCTCCTTCTTAGGTTCTTTCCTTACTTAATTCCTTCTCTTTTCTTTCGCTGTTTCTTACTCTCACTGTTCTTTTCTTTTTTTCTACTTCTCTATGTTCTTTCTTTCTTATTCTTTCTATTCTTCCTAACCATGATGAAATTCATGGCAATATGCATGAATAAAATGCATATGCAATAATGCATAAAATGCTTTTACTTTCTTATTTCTATTTTCTTGTTCTATTTCTTTTCTTTTCTTTTTCTTTCTATTCTTTTCTTTTCTTTCTTGTTTTTCTTTCTTTGTTTTTCTTTTTTTTTCTTCTCTTGGCTTGTTCAAGCCTTCTCATTCTTTCTTATTCTTATTCTTTCTCATTCTTATTCTTTGCCGATCGGACTCGGTTGATGTATGGATTTAGAACCTTGGCCGTGTGAGTGAGTACAGTCCTCATCTACATGCACTCTTGCGGACCGTGCAAATTCTTCTTTCTTCTTAGGCCACTCAATTAAGGTGGCGTGCATGTAGGAAATTCTTCTTGGTACAACCCTCATCCACATACACTCTTACAGGCCATACAATTCTTCTTCTTCTTATGCCACTCAATCAAGGTGGCGTGTATGTGGGAATTTCTTCCTAGCACTCACGGTTCCCCGTCACAACAACCTATTCTTTTCTCTTTTTTTAACACTCTTAATTCTTGAATGCTTATTCTTCCTTTCTTTTTATTCTTAGAGTGTTTTATTCTTTATTCTTTCTTAAGNCTCTAATCAAAACATAATAAAACTCTCATCTAAAGCAAGAATCCTTACCTTAGGATGCTTTAGATTAAAACCCTACTAAAAATTACTCAAAAAGGCTCTTGGAAATCCTTGGAAGATTGAAGGAATTTGAGAGAATTTGGAGAATGGAGGAGGCGGTGGAATGGGAAAATGAAAAGTTCTCAAAGACTAAACCCCCCTAAATATCTCCTAACAAACTCATTCTTCCCATTTTGCCCTTGCTCTTTCTTGGAAATTCTATCCATATCCTTTGATTCCTTACAAACACATTCCCATACTAACATATTCTCCGTGAAATTTCCTTACATTTTACTCCCCACTTTTCCTGCTAATTAGGGGTAAAATGGTCAAATAGCACCTAAGGGAAAAATATTTAAAACTCAATAAACTTTTCAACCGGCACGTCGCCACGGCGAAGAAGCTTCTTTCGCAGCGGCGAAACTGTCCAGCAGCTTCCCCGTGGCTTCAACACCTCTTCGCTGCGGCGAAGATTATTCTTCGCCCCAGCGAACTCTGTAACAACAAAAACCTTCTAATTTTGACTCATTTCAAGGCAAATACTCAACATATCAATACGACCAAAGACCAACCAACCAATATTCATAAAAACCGACTCAAATAAGAGCGAAATAAGAAACATTAGCTACGTACCTCAAGTGGGGCGTTACAATAAAAATGCTCAGTAAGTAAATCCCTTAACTCTTCTCTTCTTAGGTTCTTTCCTTACTTAATTCCTTCTCTTTTCTTTCGCAGTTTCTTTCTCTGTTTCTTACTCTCACTGTTCTTTTCTTTCTTTCTACTTCTCTCTGTTCTTTCTTTCTTATTCTTTCTATTCTTCCTAACCATGATGAAATTCATGGCAATATGCATGAATAAAATGCATATGCAATAATGCATAAAATGCTTTTTCTTTCTTATTTCTATTTTCTTGTTCTATTTCTTTTCTTTTCTTTTTCTTTATATTCTTTTCTTTTCTTTCTTGTTTTTGTTTTCTTTTCTTCTCTTGTTTCTCTTTTCTTTTCTTTTCTTATTTTTCTTTTCTTTTCTTCTCTTGGCTTGTTCAAGCCTTCTCATTCTTTCTTATTCTTATTCTTTCTCATTCTTATTCTTTTCCGATCGGACTCGGTTGATGTATAGATTTGAAACCTTGGCCGTGTGAGTCAGTACAGTCCTCATCTACATGCACTCTTGCGGACCGTACAAATTCTTCTTTCTTCTTAGGCCACTCAATTAAGGTGGCGTGCATGTAGGAAATTCTTCTTGGTACAACCCTCATCCACATACACTCTTACGGGCCGTACAATTCTTCTTCTTGTTATGCCACTCAATCAAGGTGGCGTGAATGTGGGAATTTCTTCTTAGCACTCACGGTTCCCCGTCACAACAACCTATTCTTTTCTCTTTTTTTAACACTCTTAATTCTTTAATGCTTATTCTTCCTTTCTTTTTATTCTTAGAGTGTTTTATTCTTTATTCTTTATTCTTCATTCTTTATTCTTTATTCTTTATTCTTTCTTAAGTTTCTACACATACACAATTATATGCATATGGATGGCTCATGCTTAAAATT